TGTTGGACAGATAAAGTCCGAAGTGTTCAAATTGAGGCAGTGCCTGGAGCTGAGAACTAACAAGTTATGGCAGTGACAAGTACACACTCTAGTAACATCTATCTCTCAAAAAGGTGCTGATGAGGCTCTAGAGTCAGATAACTAACTTACATAAGATCCCAAATCAACATTGGGAAAGTGACAGTGCACCAAACAGCAACTTTTCTCTAACATGGAGCCCTTATACATACACACTGGGTATTATAGCACACGTGTTATCAGTCAACTGCTGGTTAGTGTGTGCTCAAACATCTCCTCTTGTATAATATTCGACTCCACCCACCCACTGCCCTCAATGCTCACAGCCTCACAGGTCTCTAGCAGCATTCCATGGAAACAAGGAGAAGATGACAGTCTCTGTTACAACCACAGACAGCAGCTTTGTGTTGTGTGGGAATCTCAGTTCTTTACACTCTTTGGAGGCTGCTGCACGTAAACAAATCTCCAGGGAAATAGCAGAGATCTCTATTCTTCCTCATGATTGGAGATTTGTTTTAAAAGGTTTTTTCGCAATATCTTTCGCTTACCTATTACGGTCACTGTGATGTGCATGGATGTTGATCATGTTGTCTTAGCTATAGTGAAAAATATGTACATCCTTATTTCTGGTAAGTGCATGCTTCTTGAGAACCTTTTTTGAGAATTGTAATATTCTACACAGCAGTACACAATAAGGCCAGTGGCCCTATACTACACTTGTCAATATCGATGCTAAGATGTCAATTGTTTAAAATGGCTACATAATGTTACATGGCAGTGGATGCAATGGCGACATTTGAAGACAGAGGTAGTTTAGCAGAACTTTGATTCAGAGGCTGATTAATCACTTCATATTCTGGTTCCTCCCTTCTTCTTGCTGGTACCACTCCATAGGCTGTGTTACTGTAGGTCTCCACCTTCTTACTGTATGCTGATCTGTAAAGATGGCAAATGCATGGGGGATGTCATTGCCTAACTGGCTAGTTCTGTATACAAAGTCCAACCTAACACAACAAACCATGTTACGCTCTACAAAAACACAATACCTGTTGCAGATGCAAAATATGGCAATGGGGAGACAGACAAGGATCTGACAGAGTATTATTCCTCCACCCACACCTCCAGCTATTACTGCAGTGCTCTCAGTACATGGCTCCTTGTCAACATCTGAAGAAGAAGAGAAAGGTCTGATAGTCATTATAGATAGTTTGGATCAACTCACTTTTACATGCACATATTTCACTGACGGGAGTAGAAGTGAGCGTGGTTGTGAGAGTGATTGTTTTAGTACATTGCTCCATATCTGAAACGTAAAAAAGGCTGATAGCCAGTGACTTTGTTTGATTGGCTCACCTTTTGCAATTGTGCTTTTGGGAGTGATAGTTGTGGCAGTGGAGGTAACAATTTCAAAATTGTCATCGTTCGTGTTGGCAATGGATGAAGACGTGGGCATAAAGTATGTATCTTCCCCATTACCACCATCTAAGTATACGACAGTACAAATAGTATAAAACATGGTGGTAAATATCTCACCACTGATGCTTTGAGCAATGGTGAAACTATTGGCAGAAACAGTGAGAGTGAGACTCTGAGTACTAGGGCTATATAGGAGCAATTGCTGAAAGTGAGTAAATATTGTAAACCTATACATCTTACAGCATCCCACACCTTTAACATGTACAATAGTTTCACTGAAGTTGGAGTAACTGGATACTGTAGCAGTGCAGCGGTAGATGATAGTGTTGACTGTGTCATTCTCAGAGGTGGTCAGAACACTCTGATAGCCTCTCTCTGGAGATCCAGTTGTGGTGTAAAGAGTGGGCATCAGTTCAGATCGACCAGAATGAGAAAATATGTCTATCTGGTCCATTCTATGTCCACAGGAATACCCTGTCCATCAACCTCAGCTCTGGCAGTACAGTTGACGAAAGAACTGATTGTTTGGTGAGGTAGTGAGTGATTCAGGTGAGGTCTCTACTACCAGTAGTGGATCTAGTGAGGGATTTAACATGATGGCTGGAAGGAGAGGTAAGTGACTCACCTTGAATGACAGTGATAGGTCCAACCAGAGGACTGGGTAGGTGAGGTGACAGAGCCACTATGGAGATGTAGTAGGTGACTCCTCTCTGAAGACCATCCAGTGAGTGTGTGTCTGTCTCTCCTCCAGACACCCTGTCACTGATGACTGGTCCTCCCTTAGGCTGGTAGTAGATGACATAGCCAGTGACAGGATCACCTGGTGACTCCCAAGACACAGTGATATTGACATGTGTACTGTTGGACTCTGAGATGACTGCAGTAAGATTGCTTGGCTCTCCTGCAACTGTGTGAGCAAATTCAGAGAGCTATAAGGCAATTTGTACATTACAACACATTACCTGATAAATTTAGAGTTGCATTCACTTGGGTAACATTCAGCAGTAATGATGCTCAGGTATATAGTCTCTAATATTGTTGCTGATGGTACAGTTGTAGGTCCCATTTCTTCTTCCTCTCACTCTCAATCTGTTGTCATAGACAGAGTTG